TCGACGGCACTTAACAACAACAACAACAATCTCTATTTAAAGACTCCTTTACTGTTGTCTAAGGACTCTGGTGGTGCTGGATTGCTAACCACAGGTCAGCAGTACAAACCTCCTAGTGCTCTGCAGGAGAAAGATGAGACTGTCAGCTCCCATAAAGATTAATAGTCTTGGAAACCCAATATAGATTCAAAATCGAGTCCTAGTGGGGTGCTGTAGGATGACATCAGGTTGGCAGTTCAAACCCACCAGCCTCTCTTGGGAACCGTATGAATCAGAACCAACTGATGCCACACGACAACAAGAAGTCAGAATCAACCTGATGGCAGTGGGTTTGGTGTGGGCTTACTGTTGTGTGGGAGAACAAAGAGTTCCATACCTTTTCTGTTTAAATTCTATATCTTCTTGTCAGTTAGTCACTGGATTTCAACAAATTAAGAATTGAGTTCATAAAAACAGACCATTAGAGCCTGATCTTTCTGATTGATTTTTTTCTCTCTCTGGTATATTCCATAATCATTTTTTCTTTTTTGTTTTCAAACTTTTAGACAACACTTAATGCTCGGACCGATCAGGACCTTGCCATTCTGTGTGAGGTCCGGAACAGCAATAGACGAACACATAAGATACAGGGAGAACTGAAGAACCTGAAGTCCAAAGTGTTTGGTTTGGAGAATGAACTTAGACTCTGTTGATACCTACTTTCAGAAGTGGTTGCACCTGGAAGAGCTCTACTTCCTGAAACCTGAGAAAAAAGAATCAGGGACCACTAAGAAAACTTATCTTCCTCTTGAAACTGTCCTGTTAATCTTTTTTTTTTTTCCTGGCCTGGATTATAACCTGATTTACTTAACAATTTTTCCATATTATTTACCTTGCTTATGTTGACAAGTATTTTTTTGTTTTGTTTTTTTAAACAAATAAATAAAATTTAAAATAAAACTTTAAAAAAAAAGTTTTTTTCTTATGCGCCTGGCTGGATGTCAGTGGGAGAGGGAAAGGCAGCAAATCACAACTTGTCAAATTTGTAGTCATTTTGCTTCTTCTCTTTATCAGTTGTTTGTTATAAGGGATGGATTTACCTCTTTGGCACACCCGATCTCATGAAACTTCACCAGAGGGCACTAGAGATCCTACTCTCAAGCAAAATTTTTATCTAGAAATATAGTAAAGCCCAAGGAGCTCTGTAGCATAGTATTTACGAATAGGGTTACTAACCTCAGGGTTAGCAGTTTGAAACTACCAGCTGTTCAGCGGGAGAAAGATGAGGCTTTCTGCTCCCATAAAGATTTACAGCCTCAGAAACCCTTTGTAGCATCACTATGAGTTGGAACTGACTCCACGGCACATAACAACAACATAGTAAAGCCCATGAAAACTGTAACCTGTATAAGATGTAAACCTGTCAGAGAAGGAAAACTTAAATGTTTTCCACTGGAATCAGCAATAGAAAAGTGGTAACCACACTATCAAAGGTAGAAAACTTGAAGGACCTGGAAAAACAAGGCTGTCCTGTCGAGTGCCAGCTTTCCCAGGTCTCACTGCATAAAACTGCCACTTTGGCAAGAGTGAAATTGACTTCTACCCAAAGTTCAGCATTTACCACTAATGTGGGCATGTTTGCTTTCTTAATACAATTTATAGATGTTAAATTAACATTTTCAGTAATTGGAGGCATTCTTTTTTGTGTTTTCTATAGTTTCTTGTTAAAATCAGCATTTGTATTTTATTAATGACTCATTTATCCCAGTTTGCTTATTTGTTCCATTGTCTATGCAGTTTTGTACAAATGTTAAGCTTTTCTTTAATCCCTTGAAAATTATCTGATGTTGGAGGTAGCAAGGTGCTACAAAGGTGATAATACCAATACTTTGTCCTTTATGTGAATCCCTTAATGTTTGTTTGAGTCAAATTGCTGTGCATTAGGGGCAAAATAATTGTGTTTATTCCTGACAGCCTGTGGAAAGTAAGTGGTCTTAGCTTAGTATAACATCATCCTGACATACCCACAACAAATATGTTTTCATATTTGTATTTGTGTTTATACTTTAGAGAAAATAATGACTGAACTACTATTAAGAGATGTTCTTTGAGACTGTTTTCTTCTGTAAAGATTTACAGTATCAGAAACCCTAGATGAGTCACTGTGAGTAGGCAGTGAGTATAATAGCATATCAGGTTTTCTTCATTGATTAGTTTTGGAAACATCCAGATAGATCAGTTCCAGGCCTTAGGTGGATTTCTATAGTAGATTGTTCTTCCATTTGTCCTAATACTAAGAGAATTGGCTTTTCATGATTCCTCCTTTTTTGATGCTGGAAAAATGAAAGGGCTTATTAAATCATAGAATTTCAGAGTAAGAAGGTACTTTAAAGATTATATAGCCCATTTTATATATGACTCAGACCTGCCACCACTGACTACAAAAATCAATTGATAATGTTTCTAACACCCTGGTCTCAATTCCAGTCACCTATTTGCAAATCATATATCTAAGAAACTTAAATGAATATATAAAAACTCTTAAAACTCAGCAATAAAAAGACTAATAGCCCACCTTAACAATGGACAAAGGACCTGAACAGATATTTCTCCAAAGAAGACAAAGACCAATAAAGTACACAAAAAGATACTCAACATCATTAGTTTTTAGGAAAACTCAAATCAAAGCCACAATGAGATGCACTTTCCATCTATTAGGATGACTAGAACAAAAAAGACAATAATGAATGCTCTCAAGAAAATGGAAAGTTAGAAGCCTCACACCTTGCTGATGGGATGCTGCTTTGTGAAAAGTTTAATGTTCCTCAAAAAAATTAACATAGTTACCAAATGACCTGGCTGGTGCAACACTGGAGGCAATTACTCAACTATGGCAAGAAATTTGGAATATAGCTACCTAGCTAACTGACTGGAAGAGATCTATATTTATGCCCATTTCAAAGAGGTGACAAAACAGATTGTGGAACCCTACCCAGAGAAGCAGAGACAATGACTTAGAGAGATGGAACAGTTGGGGACTTTAGACACAGAGAGGGAGAGGGGCTGTGTGCTGATGACCGGCGGTGGGGGCAGGCTTGTAGTGTATACCCTTTGGTTGATGATGCATGAAGGGGATTGTAACCATGGCAATGAAATAGGATAGGATGAATCCCATGTAAACTATCACATAATTTATAATAAAACGGAATGTGGAAATCATCTGACAATATCGTATGCAAGTAAAATTTTGCTAATGATAATTTAAAAATGGCTGCAACAGTACATTGACACAGAACTGTCAAAGATTCAAGCTGGATTCAGACAAGGATATGGACTGAGAGATAACATTGCTGACGTCAGATGGATCTTGGCTGAAAGCAGAGAATACCTGAAATATGTTTATACCTGTGCTTTGTTAACTATGCAAAGGCTTTTGATTGTGTGGATCATAATACACTATGGATGTTTTGGAGAGTGAGTATTCCGAAATACTTAATTGTGCTTGTGAGGAATCTACATAGACCAAGAGGCAGTTGTTTGAATACTACAAAGAAACACTGAAAGTATTAAAATTAGGAAAGGGTATGTGCCAGGGTTGTATTCTTATACTATACTGTTCCATCCGTATGCTGAGCAAATGATTTGAGGAGCTGGATTTATATGAAGAGAATGTGGCATCAGGATTGGAGGGAGATCATTAACCTGCAATATGCAGAGGATACAGCCTTGATTGCTGATAATAAAGATGCCTTAAAATACTCATGAAGATCAAAGACCACAGCCTTTGGTATGGGTTACACCTCAATGTAAAGAAAACAAAAATCCTCACCACTAGGTCAATAAATGACATCCATATAAGTGGAGAAAAGGTTGAAGTTATCAAAGACTGCATTTTGCTTAGAGAAACCATCAGCACTCATGGAAGCAGCAGTCAAAAAAATCAAATGATGTATTGCATTACACAAATATGCTACACAAGACCTCTTTCAAGTGTTCAAGAGTAAAAATGTCAGTTTGAGGACTAATCTGTGCTTGACCAAACCATGGTATTTTCAATAACCTCATATATATGTGAAAGTTGGACATTGAATAAAGAAGACCATAGAAGAGTTGATACATTTGAGTTACAGTGTTAGAGAATATGAAAGTACAGTGGACTGCCAAAAGAACAAAACCAGTCTGTGTTGGAACAAGTACAGCCAGAATGCTCCTTAGAAGCCAGGATGATAAGACTCCATGTCTCATACTTTGGATATATTATTAGGAGGGACCAGACCCTGAAGAAGAGCATCACGCTTAGTAAAGTGGAGGTTCAGCGAAAAAGAGAGAGACCCTCAATGAGATGGACTGATACAGTGGCAACTGCAGTGGGCTCCAGCAAAGCACTAATTGTGAGGTTGTCACAGGACCAAGCAGTGTTTCATTCTGTTGTGCATAGGGTCACTATGAGCTGGTAACAACTTGATGGCACCTAACAACAACAACAAACAAAATGACTCAGTACTTCCATTCCTACGCATGTACCCAAGAAAATTAAAACATATGTTCACATAAAAACTTGTACAAGAACAATAGGATCATCCTTGATAGCTAAAAATGGAAACAACCTAATTGTTCATCAGTTGTTGAATAAACCATATGTGGTATATTAATACAGTGGATTACTATTCAGGCATTAAAAGGAATGAAGTACTGATGCATACTGTAACATGGATAAAACTTGAAAACATGTAAGCAAGGCCCAAAAAGCCACAATATATGATTGCATTTATGCAAAATGTCCAGAATAGGTAAATCTATAGATACAGATTTAATGGTTGCCAGGGAGAAAGGAATGGTAAGTGATTGCTAATGGACTTCCTTTTTGGAGTGATGACGCAATGCTCTCAAGTTGCATAGTGATGATGGTTACACAATCTTGTGAATATACTTAAAATCACTGAGTCATATACTTTGGATAAATTTTATGTTATGTGAATTATATAAAAAAGAAAGAAAGAGAAAACCCATGAAATAGCTTTATCAGATATCTAGCATGTAGGGGACATTCAATTACAGTTAAATACTGTTATTTTACCTTCAAATGATTTCCTACAAATTTTCCACCATTGTCAAATTCTAGAATACTACTGTTCTTCATTAAGTAGTTTGTATGTACAAGAATTGTGCTAGATCTTAAGTTTATAGGGAATGTTCATATAGAGTCTGTGCTTCAAAGGCTGGTGGGAACGTACTCATAGACATGGGATAAACTCAATTTGGCAGTAAAGTAAAACGTAATGGGTGCACAGAATAGAAAGCAGACAAAATTACTTAAATGGAATAATATTTTATATGAATCTTAAAAGGGAATTTGGAGTCAGACAAGAGGCTGAGTGTTCAGGTAGAGGGAGCATTGTGAAGAAGGCATGGAAGCATGGAATGTTTAGGGAACTACAGTACAGGAGACAAAGTTGTATGTAATATAGGACAGAAGTGGTAAGAAATTTCATTAAATATAGTTATACAAACCGGTCGAAAACTATACCAATTAAAAACTTTTTGCCTCAATTGAAAACTTTGGCGTTTACCATTTTGGAGAGAAAGGTGGAAACAGCATAATAACCAAAATCTGAAATATTTAGTAATATCAATTCTTGCATGAAAATTCAGGATTTGAAATGAAAACTCACTGTCTTAAACATTCAGGATAGGAGAAAGCATTATGCAATAA